CTTCATCGCCCCGGCGGTCGTCTCTTCACCACCCACATCTTCGGCGAGCGAACCGTCTTCTCCGCCGACCCGGAGTTCAACCACCTCGTTCTCGCCGGCGAAGGTCGCATCTTTGAGGGAAGCTACCCCTCTTCTATCTCCACTCTCCTCGGCCGCCATTCTCTTGTTCTCATGAAGGGCAAGCTTCACAAGCGCATGCACTCTCTTACCCTCACCCGCTTCGCATCCCCAGCCGTCATCCGCGCTTCTCTTCTCCCCGACATCGACCGCGTTGTCCGGCGCAACCTTAGGTCTTGGCCCGCTTCTCTGCGGCTTCTCGATCAGGCTAAAAAAATCACTTTTGAGCTCACGGTGGAGCAGCTTGTCAGCGAGGGGCCGGGGGAGTGGACGGATGATCTTCGCCGCCATTATAATGCTCTCATTGATGGCTTTTTCTCTCTTCCACTACCCTCTTTCCTTTCTTTTACTACCTACGGCAGGGCAATCAAGGTCGTTCTGGTTCTCGTTCGCATTTTCTTAGCCATTTATGGAACAAAGTTCAAACATTTTCGATGCTGTGTTGACAAGTTTTGGATTTTGGGTTTTGTTAATTAGGCGAGGAAGAAGGTGGCGGAGGAACTGATGAAACTGGTGAGGAGGAGGAAGGAGGAGAAGATTGTCGTCGAAAAGGGAAAAAAGAAGGACATGGTGGATGAGCTGCTCGATGCGGACGATCGATTCACGGAAGAGGAAATAGTTGATTTCCTTCTTTCCTTATTTGTAGCCGGCCATGAGACCACGCCGACGATCATGACTCTCGCCGCCAAATTTCTAGCTGAGAATCCCTCCACCTTCGTCCTCCTCAAGGTACCCTGCAATTCCGTTTATCTTTTACTTAGTCGTATAAATGGATGAAAAAAGGAGAGACCTTTGCGCATTGCAGGAAGAGCACGATGAGATACGGAGGAAGAAGATGGGCGATTTCGAAGCATTGGATTGGAACGATTACAAGTCGATGCCTTTCACACAATGCGTCATCAACGAGACTCTCCGCGTCGCCAATATAATCGGCGGCGTGTTTCGCCGCGCCGTCGCCGATGTTCATTTCAAAGGTCTTCATTTCTACTCCGTAATGATTAAAAAAATCAGGTTTTTAAGGTGATGTC